GAACATTTCCAAGATCATTCTTTGAGATCAGCATTATCTTCATACCTAAATCCAGAAAAAAAGACACTGTAAGAAAAGAAAACTGCAGACCAGTATCCCTGATGAATATTGATGCAAAATCCTCAATAAAATGCTATCAAACCAAATTCAATAGCATGTTAAAATGATTATACATCTTTACTAAGTGAAATTTGTTCTTGAAGTGCCATAATGGTTCCACATAAAAAATAAATCAATGCAACACACCACTAAGCAGAATAAAAAACAAAAACTACATCCTTTCTCAATTGATGTAGAAAAGTCATTTGACAAGGGTTGACACCATTTTATGATAAAAAAAAAAAACCAACACTCATCAAACTTGGAATAGAAAGAAACCACCTCAACATAATAAAGGCATATATGAAAAGTCCGGGGCTAACATTATATTCAATATTTGAAGACTGAAAGCTTTCCTACAAGATCAAGGATGAGTGCTCTTGTCACTTTTATTCAGCATAGTTTTGATAGTCCTAGCCAAACAAATTAGTCAAGAAATAGAAATGAAAAATCACAATTGCAAAGGAAGAAATAAAGTCATTTCTGTTCCCCGAAGACATATTTTTATATGTAGAAAATCCTAAAGAGCACCCACACATATACACATATACAAAGGTGTTAGAAATAATGAACAAATTCAGGAAAGTTACAGGATATAAAATCAACATATAAATATCAGTTGCATTTCTACACACTAATGATGAACAATCAGAGAAGGGAATTAAAAAAAACATTCATTTAAAATAGAATCCAAAATAATAAAATAGGAGAATAGTAACTAAACAGGTGAAAGAGTTATATACTGAAAATTAGAAATCATTGCTGAAAGAAAGTATTGAAACACAAATAGATGGACAGACATCTTGTGTTCATGGATTGGAAGACTTAATATTGTTAGCACATACATACCACACAAAGCACTATACAGATTCAACACAGTCCCTATCAAAGTTTCAGCAGCATTTTTTGCAGAAATGAAAAAAATCTTAAAACCCATATCGAATCTCAAGGGACTCTAAATAACCAAAGCAATTTTTTAAAAACGAATAAATTGCAGACCTCCCACTTCCTAATTTTAACATATTACAAACCAGCAGTAATCAAAAAATGTGTTACTAGCATAAGGACAGACATATAGACTAATAGAATAGACTAGATAATCCAGAAATTAATCCACAACCTTTGACAAGTGTGGCAATACAAGTCGATGGGAAAAGGACAGTTTCTCCAATAAAAGGTATTGGGAAAACTGGATATTTACATACAAAAGTATCAAGTTGGATCCTTAGCTTTTGGTGTACACAAAATTATCTAAAATAGGTTAAACACATAAATGTAAGATGCCAAACTATAAAACTTTTTAGAAAAATACATAGAGAAAAAAGTTATAAATTGGATTTGGCAAAAATTTCTTGAATGTGACACCAAAAGCACAGGAAACAAAAGCAAAAATACAGAAATGGGGATACATCAAACTTAAAAAGTTCTGTTCATTAAAAGAAACAGTAAACAGAATGAAAAGGCAAATTATGGAATAGGAAAAATATCTGCATATCATTTACATTTTCAAGAGTTAATACTGCAATATATAAAGTACTCCTACAACTCAACTGTCGTGCCCCCTCGCCAGCAAGGAAGACACGGCAATTGGAGTTCTTCTGACAACGCTTTAATGGGGATTGCTTAGCTGGTTACATGCGGAAGACGCCGAGGCGTTCTCGGCGGCTGCTTATATAGACAGTAAGTACACGGGGCATAACCTGATTGGTCAACACAGAACAGGAGAGGAGGCAAGGCTTTGCACATGCGCTGAACATCTGTTTGTCAGACGCACAGTAGGGTGTGACCAGGAAGTGGGCGCCATCTAGGAATGGCGTTGCCACCGCGCCCCACATCTCCCCCTATTTTATTAATTAAATGAGAACTGAGCAACCGTTCAGCACCGTCCTTGCAGTAAATCAAGGATGCAGAGCCTCACTTCCACCAGCAACCACCTTACCTCGTGCAATGAGCAAACACTCGGGTGTGCAAAGGCTGGCTGTGGGATTGGAGACATGCCTTATCTGGTGCAATGGGAGAGATCCCTCAGAGTGCAAAGGCCATGTCTGCTAAAATACCTGGGGGTAGGAGCGGGTGCAACCCAAAACTAGGCTAACCTTTTAGCATGGTCAACCACACCTGTGTAGACTGTCCCAGCTCAAGCGCAGCAAATGCCTGTGCCAATACCACATGGTCCCTCCGTCTCTGGCCTGCAGCCTACAGATGGCCACAGCCCCCGCCAGCCGCAGCAAGCAGCAAGACGGCCGTGGCTGCAAGACCGAAACAGAGTCATAGAGCTAGGAGCTTCAACAGGAACAGGAATGTATCTAGGCAAGCGGGTAACAATGGCAGAGGGGTGAGACGTGGCATTCCAACACAATGTATAATTGCACGTATTAGAGGAACAGTTCACATGTGTACCAGAGGGTTTTTCCGTGGATACCACCCAGATAAACGGGGGCCAAACACAGACAGGTGTAGGGGCAAAGGTCACGTTTCGCTCCCGCAATCACCCTCACAGAACCTTCAAAAGAGTCGCTAAGATTCCATGCGAAACTAGCATTCCCTGCCATACCCCCAGCCACTATGGACAGGGGAGCCAAGTCTGTGCAGCTTCCGTTAACCCACACAAAACCACAAATCCCTTCAAGGAGAAGGATCTATTTCCCTCCAGTTTACTACTCTGCGTGTCCAACGGCAGGTACGCAGTGCCCAGGGAAACATTAGTAGAAAGAGGCGGGGAAAATTGGTGAGTTATGTGTCACAGGCATCGGCAGGGGAAGTACTGACAGGATCCCCCAGCGTGGCTCCGCTGCCATCCTCGCGATCATCCATACTGTCGTCAGGAGGAGTAGCCAGCACGTCTTCATGCTGCTCCAGAGGCTGCTGCACCGTTCTAGTCAGCCGCGTGGGCACCCAGATGGGATTGTCCTGGTCCTGTGGAAAAATACAAATAGCTCCCCTGGATCTCATTATCACTGGATCCGGGCCTTTCCATAGATTAGACAACACATCTTTCCACTTCACTAATTCTTTCTGGCGGAGCAGGCGTGACATGCCTGTCTGCTGCCGAACGTCCCTTGACATCTAAATTTAAAAAATTTAAAGTAAAGAGAGCAAAGGAGAGGCGTCCTTTGGGTGATAGCCCTAGCTGTAGGGCATCTCCCCCTTTTTGTTTTTGTAAGTACATTTTGAGCGTGCCTTGCGCTTGAGGGTTGTAGGGAAGACCTGTACGGTGCTCTACACCCAAGCGAGTGCAAAACTGCTGAAAAGATTTTGAGGTATAAGCCGGGCCATTATCTGTCTTAATAGCCCGGGGCTTGCCCCAGGCTGCCCAAGCTTCTAGGCAGTGAGTGATAACGTAACTTGCCTTTTCTCCAGCCAGAGGCGTGGCATGAAGGACGCCTGAGCACGTGTCTACAGACACGTGAACATATTGAAGCTTCCCAAAAGATGGGACATGAGTTACATCCATTTGCCACAGATGTAGAGGACGCAAACCCCTGGGATTCACGCCCGTGGGAATAACAGTGCGAAAAGGGGCACAATTTGGGCATTGCAGCACAATCTCACGAGCATCTGCACGCGTGATGTTGAACTTAAGTTGTAAGGTTTCAGCTGGCACATGATAAAGTTTATGAAAGTCTATGGCGGCGGCGTGGCCATCAGACACCCAGAGGGCGCGAGTGGCGTGATCAGCCATAGCATTTCCCACAGCCATAGGTCCAGGTAACAAGGAATGAGCTCTGATATGCTGAATGGAAAATGGGTTCCTTCTGTTCTGAATAGTATTCCTAATTTCTGTAAATACAGAAAAGACAGTACTCTTGGCAAGAATGTGAAAGGAGTTCTCTAACTGTTTAACTGCGTTGACCACATAAAAGGAGTCTGAGATGATGTTGATAGGTTCAGTGATGGTACTGAGAACCAGACCGACTACGGCACACTCTACTAGCTGAGGAGAAGAATAGTTAAACTGTTTGGTATACACCTTGTCCTGAATGACATAGCTCCCAATACCTGTCTTAGAGCCATCGGTATACACATCTAAGGCATCAACCAAAGGTTGCAGCGAAGTTACTCTTGGGAAAATAAGCTCGTTCCTCATTGCAAACTGCAGCAAGGCATGTCTGGGATAATGGTTATCAATGCTCCCCGGGAAGGTGCATCTCAATATGGCCCATGCATCAAGAGTGGCACATAAGGTGTTCACCTGATTGGCAGTATATGGACAAATCAGGCTATCAGGGTGACGCCCAAAATGGGACACAGCCAAACTAATACCCTTTAAAGCTATCTCGGCCACACAGGTAGGATAATGGCCAATCACCTTTCCTGGAGAGGCTTGAGGATGCACCCATAAAAGGGGACCATCCTGCCAAAGCACTGCCGTAGGGAGCGTAGGAGAAGGGAGTACACAGAGGGAGAAAGGATCATGGTGTTGAATGCGCACTAGTTGCGCCTTTTGAATGGCTTCTTCTACCTTATGAAGAGCCTTTAGGGCCTCAGGAGTCAAAGTTCTAGGAGACGTGATGTGTGAGTCTCCCTCTAGAATCTGAAATAATGGCTTCAGTTCTGCTGTGGTAAGACATAAAAAAGGTCGAAGCCAATTGATATCCCCTAGCAGTTTTTGAAAATCGTTTAATGTTTTTAAGGCATCTCTTCGGATGGACAGTCTTTGAGGCACAATTTTGTCAGGGAGAATGCTACTACCAAGAAACGCGCCTACTTCTCCCTCTTGCACCTTTTCTGGAGCGACCAGCAAGCCTTTTTCCCTTTAAGTGAGCCTGAAGGGACGCATAAGCTTGGCGAAGTACGCCATCATCACAATGACACAAGAGAATATCATCCATATAGTGTATAATTCTTACCTTTGAAAACTTCTGCCTAACCGGCTGGATAGCTGAGGCCACATAAATAGTGGGACTATTAGCCATGCCCTGAGGTAAAACCTGCCATTGATATCTTGCATCAGGCTGCTCATGGTTTATGGAAGGAAGCGTGAATGCAAATCTGCTTTTATCTTGTGGGTGCAGGGGAATAGAGAAAAAACAGTCTTTGATGTCCAAGATAATTAGACTCCAATGTTTAGGCAAAGCAGTCCTCTTTGAACAGGCCCCATAAGCTGCATCTGGGCATTAATTGCTCTAAGGTCATGCAACAGTCTCCATTTACCAGACCTTTTCTTAATCACAAAAATAGGGGTATTCCAGGGAGATTGAGAGGGCTCAAGATGCCCAAGAGTAAGTTGTTCTTGCACTAGGTTATGGGCAGCGAGTAACTTTTTAGAGGGTAAGGGCCACTGAGGTACCCACACTGGCTCCTCTGTTTTCCAGGGTATGGGCAGAGGATCCCCAGTGGCCCCTAAGAAAAACCCAGCCCGTGCCTTAAGGCCCGCGGCATGGGTTCTATAGGTTCAACTCTACCCTGCAAATTCTTTCCAAGACCTTTACCTGGGACGCAGCCCATGCTCTTCATCAGCTTTTGACTTTGAACAGAATAGTCATTGGTCAATTTGAAGTCCAATTGCCGTAGCAAATCTCTACCCCAAAGGTTCACAGGCAGAGGTAGGACATAAGGTTGAAAACTGCCCTCTCTACCCTCATTATCCTTCCATCTCCGTGTCTGGGCGCTGATCACTGGAGAGGATGCATATCCCAATCCCTGCAAAGTTTGAGCCGACGGGGCCAATGGCCACGTTTTTGGCCACCAGCGTTTAGAAATTATACTAGTGTCAGCTCCTGTATCCAGGAGGCCTGTAAATGTCTTTCCCTGTATGGTTAAGTCTATAGTAGGGCGTTCATCTAAATTCAATGACAAATACGCACAGTTTCCTCCAGAGGAACCAAAACCTTTTTCTCCTCTAGTTTCTTGTTTACTAGGGAATAAAGAATGGAGGCTAGGTAAAATTAGCAACTGTGCTAACCGGTCTCCTGGATATATGGGAACTATGCCTCTAGTTGAAGAGCAAAGAATCTTCACTTGTCCCTCAAAATCTGAATCAATAACCCCTGGGTGAACTATCAGTCCCTGCAAAGTTGAGGAGGACCTCCCAAGGACAAGTCCTACAGTATGTTCAGGCAACGGCCCCTTGAAATCAGATGGGACCGGTTGGCACCCCATGAGAGGAGTTAACACTGTTGTGGTGGTGGCACAGAGGTCCAGTCCTGCGGAACCTTTAGTGGCTCTCCTCGGCTCCCCGGAGGTGCCAGCGATGGCACCGGAGTGCTCTGCATAACCCCATATATTTGAGGGCCCTGAGGTCGAGGGCCCCGATTCCCGTTTTTTGTTGGTCCTGTTCTTTTAGTGAACGGTTGATTGGTCTTCCTTTAATATCCTTGGTGGATCTACACTCACTGGCCCAATGTCTTCCTTTTTGACAAGTAGGGCATATCCCCGGCACCTTAGGCTGAGGGCGCTCCTGCTTGGGCAATCTGCACTGCCTCTTAAGGTGACCGGGTTTTTCACAATTGTAGCCAGTCATTATCTTGCCCTTTTGAGGCGGCTAGCACAGCAGCTGCTAACCACTGTTGGTCCAGGGGGCCCTCTACTCCCTGCAGGCCTTCAGCCACGAATTAAAGGCCTTTGTTCTTCAGGGAGCAATTGCATTACGGCATTCCGTAGTGCAACTGCTCAAATGCTAGTTGCTTTATCAGGGGCATTGCCTCTCCAGATCCCCAAATACCTTCCCTGCTGCCTCCACTAACTTGCACAAATCTGAGAAGGGCTCAGTAGCCTGTATAACCTGTGTTAAATTCCTCTTACCTCTCCCGTTTGGTAAACTTTCCATGCCTTTATTGCTATGCTGTTAATCTGAGCGTACACCTGTGGGGGGGAAAGGTTGGTCTGATTAAGCAGCCATTGTCCCTGCCCTGTGAGCATGTCATAGTTCCAGGCAGCCTGCCCCTGCTTGTGCGTTTGCTCTGCTTGTTCATACAACTTCCTGAAAAATTGATTTCCAGTTAGATACCTGACCAGTAGTCAAGCAGGCCCTTGTTGTATTACTCAGGTCTCAGGGGTCATAGCTAAGTTACCAAGCTCTCACTTGGCCTATGGTGAAAGACGCCGTAACACCCCCAGGACCGCACCGACTCAGCAAGGTCTTTCAATTGTTTGTGCTGGAGAAGGCTCATGATACCTTGCTGATTGTTTGTTCTCGAAAACAGGAATGAGAGAAAATTTTCCTCATATCGCGGGCCTGATAACGAGCTCCCGCTGATTGTTTTGGGTCTGGCTCTCTCCTTCTCTCAGAGGAGGGCGGTAGGGCAGAAACAGCAAGCGTCACTGTAGGCGCGCGGCCGATATCGCCCCGCCTCATAAACTTTGCGCTTCCTCTTCCAAAGTAGCTTCCTCCTGAATCTAGCTCCTCCCCGCTTCCTCCCCTGAACTTGAGGAAGTAAGAGAAGAGGAAGAAAGAGGAATCATCCTCAGAAATTATCTAATTTCTAAATTCTGACAGAAAAAGGCTTTCTCCCCTGTCTTCTGTCCTGTCCTTTCTCTTTGTTATTTTTTTCTTGTACTTTACATTTCTTTCTCTCCCTTTTCTTTTTTCAGGCCTTCTCCCTTTGTCTGACTCTGAGTACTGTCTTGATAGTCAGAGAGCACTTTGCCCTGCCTGTACCTGGGCTGCACAATTTTATCATTCAGCGCACGACCGGATCATAGTCACACAGGGACGGCCCTGCCGTAAGTGCTTGCTCTCTCCGCAGCAGAATCTTTCTCCAACTTATCCCAAGACGGACATTTAATGACGCCGGAATGGAGAAAACCATGCGCGACCCTGTCCACCTCTTCATAAAAATTCCACAGCAGACGCTCCGATAGGCCAGTCCGCGCCTGCAGCACACCCTGCAAAGCTTGTAACAAAAGCCCCGGCTTGGAGTTACCCATGCGTTCTTTACCTAACAGAGCGAAGACAAAATATACTTGTTGAAACGAAAGAGGCTCACCGGCTCTATAAACACGCCTACTTTGGTCAGCAAAGGTCCGAATTCGGTCTCCCGCGCCAGCGCGTCAAGTTCTGAATCAACCTCTACTCGAGGTCGTCTCCGCTGGTTGGATCAAAGTTGTTTCGGTTCCGGGTGTTCGGCACTGCGACTTGTCGGCGCCCCATCGCCAGCACCAAAAAGACACGGCAATTGGAGTTCTTCTGACAAGCTCTTTAATGGGATTGCTTAGCCTGTTACAATGCCGGAAGACCGCCGAGCGCGTTCTCGCGGGCTGCTTATATAGAGCCAGTAAGTACAATGGGCATTAAACCTGATTGTCAACACAACGAACAGGAGCGGCAGGGAAGGCTTTGGGCACATGCGCTGAAACAATCCTGTTGTCAGACGCACAGTAGGCGTGTGACCAGGAAGCGCGCCCCCCGCCAAAATCTAGGAATGGCGTTGCCACCGCGCC